ATAGAGGGGATGTATGGTGATAGATAGAGGGGGTGGATGGGGATAGATAGATAGAGGGGGTGTACGGGGATAGATAGATAGATAGAGGGGGTGGCTGGGGATAGATAGATAGAGGGGGTGGATGGGGATAGATAGATAGATAGAGGGGAGTGGCTGGGGATAGATAGATAGATAGATAGAGGGGGGTGGATGGGGATAGATAGACAGACGGGGTGGATGGGGATAGATAGATAGATAGATTAGATAGAGGGGGTGGATGGGGATAGATAGATTAGATGATATTATTGCTCCATTATCCCAACAAAATGTTAATAGAGTCTCATTAATTTGCCTTTCCCAGGGGTTCAGACCCAGTAGTTACCTGGAGTTTTGGGCCGGACGCTGTGTAGTGGTAACAATTTGTTGCCGCATTTATAACCTGGAATGTTTAAATCGAAAATGAATGTCTGTTAGGACCAAACAAATGAAAAGTCCATCGTCCTGTCACTGACAAGAGGAGTCAAAGCTCACTGGGCCGTCCAGCCCTGTATCCCGCCTCCTTGTCCCGCTGGATCAGCCCATTGGCCCATGGAGTCTGGGATCCTGCCTCCTGCTGTGTTTGATCACATCACTGGCCTGTCTCACCTGATATCCCGGCTGCTGCCCCGGCAGATCAGACCACGGAGCCGGCCCACTCCCAGCAATGTCCAATACTACTTGTTCTCCGGAGGAAACACATGGTGGGAACCTTCAGGGTCCTTGTTCTGACCTACGCTGGGGCTGAAGCTGTGCAGATGCAGAGAACCACAGAAGCAGCCCGACAGCCCCCATACTCCTGAACTGAGCCAATCTCACTGCAGGAAAGAATCTGAGGCTTTCACTGGACTGTAATCGGACTGTGGAACTCCTTGCCACAGGATGTCATTGAGGAGAAGAACTTAGCCAGACTGGCAGTACATATGGATAACAAGGTCACCCAGCGTTATCATCGCTAATGCTAACAGAGATCTGGAAGAAGGGCTATTAAACCTTTTAATCCAATTGCCGGTGACGAGGGGTCAGCATGAGACCTAATGTGGGGGGCAGATTATCCTGTGCCTGCTGTGACGAAGCGGGACCCTTCTGTGATAGTGTTCTCATCGATGTGCATAGCAAGGACTTACCTGACAGAGCTGGAGACATGGAGGTGTTTGTGTCACATGACTGTCTGGGGTGGGACCCGGAGGTCGTTAAAGGACGGGCTGAACCCTACCCAGATCAATAGAGAAGAGACAACGGGAACCCCAACGACTGAACAGCTAGGAACCGGGATGTCAGGCCGGTGGAACATCTGAACTCAGCAAGGATCTGCAGGAGGACAATGGCTCAGGAGGGGACAGGAGGCTGGAATAGGAGAGGCGGGTGAAGGGCTCACCTGGGACTGACAGACAAAGGGACAGAGACTGAGAGGATGGCTCAGGGGAGTTGTGGCGTGGCCAGGATGGACTATATCTCAACCTTTGCTTCTCTGTAACCCAAGGACTTAACGGTGCTGGGTTCCAGGTGGCTAATGAACCCAGGCCGCCTGGCGTCACTGTGAGCACCTGCCGAGGTGCACCGGTCCCTGCAGAGCGCACGAGTCTCTGACCAGGAGTCAGTCTCAGTTGGACTTGCCAGCAGAACTCCCGGGGTGAGGCAGGAGGGCTGGAGCCCAGACACCATGTGGCCTCCACTGAAGGCAGAATGGGACCCTCTGGGCATCGGGCCCACTGACGGGAGTCCTCTAAGGGACTGTTTAAAAGCTGGGGCATAGCACAGATCCTGTGGAGCCAGGATGCCGGCCTAGCTGGCTCCTAGAAGGCAGCATGGCCTAGTGGACAGAGCACTGGGATGGCACCAGGAGACGCCGGAACCTCGGTAGACGTTTGTAAATGAACAGGATTGTACCATCGTCAATTTCTCCTTCTGCTGGAAAGAAGCCGCAAGCCCCCGGATTTTGGCTAACCGCTCAGGGCAGAAGGGACACCAATCTCATTTCTCCATGTCTAAGTATCGAGGGCTAGGTTCTTACGTCACTTACACCATGGAAGTCAGTGGATTTACTCTGGATCAACAGCATCGGCAGAGCACTAACGGAGCCCTGTGGCCATTACAGCAGTGGGGGTTCTGAGGGCGGCTTAAATCAGGAGCAATTCCAGTGACATCAGGCTCAATCTGGTGTCAGATCAGAATCAGACCTCTTCGCGCGGCGAGCCAGTGTAAACCTATGTTATATAGCCAGATCTCACAGATGATCTGAGGGCGAATTGCTCCTATACCGGGGCTGTCTCGAGGCTGGGCTCTGTCTCTTCCTCCGATGTTGGATCGAACCAGAACCTTCAGGGAGGGACTTGTCTCAGCGTGGGTTCTATCCAATCTCCAGCCGAGGTGGTGAGGCAATCTCAGTCACTCGGCCTAATTTAACGAGCTCATTAGGGAGGGACTTTGAATGGCCTCCTCTTATAGATTTGTCAGAAGCTTCTCCTTCCAGCCACAGGGAGTTGTCGGCATGTTTGCTTTGAATCAGAGGGCCCGATCCTTGGGCTGGGCCATGTGGTGCGCAGTGCAGGGTGTGAAGAACAGGCAGGGAAGTCTTTCCGCTCTCCCCAATCCTACCACCAGCTGGCGCTCTGAGGCAGCTCTAGATTACGCTGGCCGCCCTCTCGTGCCCACAGCCCTCGCTCTCAGGCCTGACACCTGAGAGCTCCCCTTCTGGGGGGGCTCTCAGTGGCCAATATACAGCATCTGGCCCGATGTATCTTGTACTAACATACAGCACTGTCTTTATCTGGAGCTACTGGGCCAGGTCCCCAGCCGGTATAAATCGATACAACTCCACTGGATACCACCCTAGCCGAAACAATTTTGAGACCATGAATCAGCTCGGAAATAATTCCATCTGCAGAGTGATCCACTGCTATCTGGCCTGTGATCTGATGTGTCACTCCCAGCCCCCCATTCCCGCACAAGGAAAAACTCTCCTAGCCGCCTTGTTAATCCCTTTGGCAGATTTTCCCAGCACGGCATCCGTTACCACCCAGGGACGTGCCTGATGAAACTAGTTGTGCCGAGGAGCTAATAATGTGGTGCCTCTGTTCTCGCTCCCGAGTACCCTGCTGGGCGACAGTCCAGCCTTTGAGCCTACCTTTAAAGCCATTGAACTCTTCAGAAGGTTCGTCCCACTCAGTTCTTGTTTTGGGTACCGTCCGGTGTCACTGACGGTCACCTGGTGGGGAGAATTTGGAGGGTGCTGGTCAGGCTGGCTCTGTAACTGAGGAAGAAAGGGCCTGATCCAACTCCCTTTGGGCACTGGGAGAAGGATTGGGCTCCTGAATAAAGGTCAGAGGTTTATCAACATTTGGGGCCTTGCTTCTCTTGAAGCATAAAGGGGCCTTCAAGTGAGCAGGAACAATCTGAGAACCACCCCCTACGCAGGGCACCTTTACTGGTCGGCGTGGATGGAGGGTACGGTTGCCACCTGTCCGGGTTCTCTCAGGATTGGCCCTTTTTCGAAGCAGCTGTTCCAGATGAAAGGGTTTGGTTTTTTCTTTCTCAGGAGCGACAACACTTGTCCCCCTGGGCGGACAGGGGGCGGATCGGGGTGTGGTCAGAGCGCACTG